AAAAAAAAAAAAAAAGAAAAATTAGCCCAGAGTGGTGGTGGGCACCTGTAATCCCAGCTACTGAGGAGGCTGAGGTGGGAGAATTGCTGGAACCCAGGATGCAGAGGTTGCAATGAGCAGAGATCACACCATTACACTCCAGCCTGGGCAACAAGAGTGAAACTCCAACTCAAAAAAAAAAAAAAAAAAAAAAAAGAAGTACAATTAATGTGATCATCATAGAAACTATCAGAATAGACCGAGTTAATGGATGCTACAAAGAAAAATGCACAAAATAAGGCCATTCTCTCACTGCAAAGCACAAGTCATTTTTCAAGCTAAAGGAGGCAGAAGGAGCAAGCACTTTGGGAGGCCAAGGCAGGCAGATCACAAGGTCAGGAGTTCAAGACCAGCCTGGCCAACAGGGTGAAATCCCATCTCTACCAAAAATACAAAAAATAGCTGAGCATGGTGGCAGGCGCCTGTAGTCTCTACTACTCAGGAGGCAGAGACAGGAGAATCACTTGAACCTGGGGGACAGAGGCTGCAGTGAGCCAAGATTGTGCCACTGCACTCCAGCCTGAGCAACAGAGCAAGTCTCTGTCCCAAAAAAACAGAAAAAAAAAAAAAGGGGGGGGTGCAGGTGCGGTGGCTCACACCTGTAATCCCAGCACTTTGGGATTGATGGGAGGATGAGGTAGGTGGATCACCAGATCAAGAGTTCAAGCCCAGCCTGGTCAATATGGTGAAACCCTGTCTCTACTAAAAATACAAAAGAAAATTGGCCAGGCATGGTGGCATGCACCTGTAATCCCAGCTACTCAGGAGGCTGAGGCAGAAAAATCGCAGGAACCTAGGAGGCGGAGGTTGCAGTGAGCCAAGATCGATCATGCACTGCACTACAGCATGGGCAACAGAGCAAGACTCTGTCTCAAAAACAAAAAACAAAAACCCAGTATGAATAAGAAAGTAGACAGAGGTGGTATAAGGGCAGGACTACCTACCTCACCAGTCAGATCCCAGGAATGTGGTGTAATCCAGATTTTTGCTTTCTACATCCACGGTGAACAAACACTGATAGCCTCAATTTGGAAATTCCAAATGCACAAAAGACTGAACCAGACACTAGCAGACAGGCTTATTAATTTACAGTGATAAATAAAGCTGTCACACTAACCTGATTACTCTGGTCACCCTACTTTGTTTCTCATTCTCTATGGACTCAAGTCACATGAAAAGCCAATCATAATCAGGACCAACTTCACTGACATCACAAGAATTAAAAGTAATTAATCCGGCCGGGTGCAATGGCTCACACCTATAATCCCAGAACTTTGGGAAGCCAACGTGGGCGGATCATGAGGTCAGGAGATCCAGACCATCCTAATACAGTGAAACCCCATCTCTACTAAAAGTACTAAAATTAGACAGGCGTGGTGGCACGCACCTGTAGTCCCAGCAACTCGGGAGCCTGAGGAAAGAGAATTACTTGAACCCAGGAGATGGAGGTTAAGTGAGCTGAGATCGAACCACTGCACTCCAGCCTGGATGACAGAGACTCCATCTCAAATAAATAAATAATCCATCACAAAGGTTCTGCACAGCAAAAGAAACAACCAACAAAGTGAAGAGACAACCCACAGAATGGGAGAAAATTTTTGCAAGCTACTCATCTGATAAGGGATTAATAACCAAACTATAATAAGGAGCTCAAACAATTCCATAGGTAAAACATTTAATAATCCAATTAAGAAATGGGCAAAAGGCTGGGCTCAGTGGTTCATGTCTATAATCCCAGCACTTTGGAAGGCTGAGGTGGGTGGATCACCCAAGGTCAGGAGTTCGAGATCAGCCTGGCCAACTTGGTGAAATCCTGTCTCTACTAAAAATGCAAAAAATTAGCCAGGTGTGGTGGCAGTTGCCTATAATCCCAGCTACTGGGGAGGCTGAGGCATAAGAATTGCTTGAACCCAGGAGGTGGAGGCTGCAGTGAGCCAAGATCTGCACTCCAGCCTGGGCAACTGAGTTAAACTCCATTTCAGAAAAAAAAAAGAAAAAGAAAAAAGAAAGAAATGGGCAAAAGAGCTGAATAGACATTTCTCTTGTACAGAAGACATACAAATGGGAGGCAGGTATACGAAAGAGTGCTAAACATCACTGATCATCAGGGAAATGCAAATCAAAACTACAATGAGATATCACATCAACCCAGTTAAAAGGGCTTTTATCCAAAAGACAAGCTATAACAAATTCTGGAGAAAAGGGAAACCTCACACTTCATTAGTGGGAATGTAAATTAGTACAACCACCATGGAGAACTTTTTGGAGATTTTTCAAAAAACTAAAAACAGAACTGCTATATGTTCCAGCAATCCCACTGCTAGCTGTATCCAAAAAAAAAAAGGAAACCAGTAAAGTGACATCTGCACTCCCAAGTTTACAGCAGCACTATTCACAATAGCCAAGGCTTGGAATCAGCCTGAGTGTCCATCAACAGATGAATGGATAAACACATACACAATAAAGTACTATCCAGCCTTAAAAAAGAATGAGATCCTATCATTTGCAACAACATGGATGGAAATGGAGGTCGTTATGTTAAGCAAAATAAGCCAAGCACAGAGACAAACCTCGCATATTCTCTTATTTGTAGGAGCTAAAAAATAAAAACAATTGAACTCATAGAGATAGAGAATAGAATGGGGCTGGGTACAGTGGCTCACGCCTGTAATCCCAGCACTTTGGAAGTGCCCAGCACAAGGCAGGCAGATCACCTTAGGTCAGGTTATTTTTTTTTTTTTTCCTGCTTTTGTTTTGTTTTTTCCCCCCAGACAGGGTCTCAATACCAGGAAAAGAAAAAACCCTTGCCATATTAAGTACACGTTAAAGACTTCCACCGCCTCCATGAAGGTAGAGTCCACATGTATCTTGTTCAGTGGCTTTCAACAAACCTTACTGCATATCAGAATCCCCTGGAGGGGCTGCTCTGTCTATGGAGTAGCCATTCTTTTACTCCTTTACTTTCCTAATAACTTGCTGTCACTTTACAGAATTGCCCTGAATTCTTTCTTACATGAGATCCAAGAACCCTCTCTTGGAGTCTGGATTGAGACCCTTTTCCAGTAACAACTTTCTGGTGACCACTGAAGGCACTATAGTGTGGAAATCCCTGACCCAAAGGCTAAGTTTAGGTAAGTGATGGGGTCTGGTAACGTCTTTCTAGTGAACCACGGAAGGGATGATACTGAAGAAACCCCCTGACACAAAGGAAATAGACTGCAGCACTGATTGGTTGACTTGGGAGCCAAGAAAACTTTTCTTTTGAGCTATTTCCAGCTTTCTTTTATTTTTTTTTTATTTTTTATTTTTTTTTGAGACGGAGTTTCACTCATGTTACCCAGGCTGGAGTGCAATGGCGCGATCTCGGCTCACCGCAACCTCCGCCTCCTGGGTTCAGGCAATTCTCCTGCCTCAACCTCCTGAGTAGCTGGGATTACAGGCACGCACCACCATGCCCAGCTAATTTTTTGTATTTTTAGTAGAGACGGGGTTTCACCATGTTGACCAGGATGGTCTCGATCTCTTGACCTCGTGATCCACCCACCTCGGCCTCCCAAAGTGCTGGGATTACAGGCTTGAGCCACCGCGCCCAGCCCTTGCCAACTTTCAACAATTGAGTAGGCGGGCACAATGGCTCATGACTGTAATCCCAGCACTTTGGGAGGCCAAGGCAGGCAGATCACCTGAGATCAGGAGTTCAAGATCAGCCTGGCCAACATGGTGAAACCCAGTTTCTACAAAAAATACAAAAATTAGCCCGGTGTAGTGACAGGTGCCCAACTACTCCAGAGGCTGAGGCTGGGGAACTGCTTGAATCCAGGAGGCAAAGGTTGTAGTGAGCCATGATCACACCACCACACTCCAACCTGAGTGATTAGAGGAAACCTTTCTCAAAAAAATAAAAAACTGAGTGAAGTATACTCCAGTAAACAAAATTTGAAGCGTATTTGTTTCCTCTACCTGATTTCTCCAGAATTTGGAAACTATTTGTAAGTATTCTTAATTTATAACAATATAGTTACTTGCATAAGTGCAATAAGAATCTTTTTTTTTGAGATGGAGTCTTCCTCAAGACTAAAGTGCTGCAGTGGTACACTCTCGGCTTACTGCAACCTCCATCTCCTAGGTTCAAGCAATTCTCCTACCTCAGCCTCCTGAGTAGCTAGGATACAGGTGTGCATCACCATGTTGGCTAATTATATTTTTAGAAGAGATGGGATTTTACCATGTTGGCAAGCTGATCTCAAACCCCTGACCTCAGGTGATCCACCCGCCTTGGCCTCCCAAAGTGCTGGGATTACAGGCGTGAGCCACTGTGCCTGGCGAAGAATCTGTTTTCTTTTGTAACAGGACACAATAGAAAAAAATGCTTATTTTACCAAGGCTTTAACTGGAATGACAAGCTTTCCTTTAAGGAATCAAACTTGACTTGCAAAGCCAATAAAAGCCCCTTGGGGAAACATCTCACTCCTTGTATCCAGTCTCTATACAGGGTTCCTGACCCGTGGTAAGTAAAAAATGTCACTTTCTCACAGGCCCAGGAGCCCCAATTTATCTTGGGAGGCCAAGAGGAGAGGAATTTACTCAGCTGATAGATATTTGATGGTACAAACCCATGGCTAGGCTTGGTTTTTAAAAAGTCTTGCCCTTCCAAACAACAAAGGGGAAAAAAAAAAAAAAAAGTCTTGCCTGGCGCAGTAGCTCACACCTGTAATCCCAGCACTTTGGGAGGCCAAGACAGGTAGATTACCTGAGATCAGGAGTTCAAGACAAACCTGGCCAACATGGTGAAACCACGGATCTATTAAATATACAAAAAAAATTAGCTGGGTGTGGTGGCAAATGCCTGTAATCCCAGCTATTCAGGAGGCTGAGGCAGGAGAATTGCTTGAACCCGGGAGGCGGAGGTTGCAGTTAGCCAAGATCGTGCCACTGGACTCCAGCCTGGGCAACAGAGCAGGACTGTGGGACTATGTCTCCAAAAAAAAAAGTCTTATCTGAGGTTCTTTCTATGGAACAGAGTTCCATCAAAGCCCACTTAAAAAGAGCTTATAATAATTTTTTTTCTTTTTTGAGACAGAGTTTTGCTCTTGTTGCCCAGGCTGGAGTACAGTGGCACAATCTCAGCTCACTGCAACCTCCACCTTCTGGTTGCAAGCGATTCTCCTGCCTCAGCCTCCCAAGTAGCTGGGATTATAGGGGCCCACCACCAGGCCCAGCTAATTTTTGTATTTTTAGTAGAGACAGGGTTTCACCATGTTGGCCGAGCTGGTCTCAAACTCCTGACCTTGTGATCTACCTGCCTCAGCCTCCCATAGTGCTGGGATTATAGGTGTGAGCCAGCATGCCTGGCCCAGATATCGCCTTTTGTCAGAACTCAAGAGTTATGAATGGGGCCAGGTGCGGTGGCTCGTGCCTATAATCCCAACACTTGTGGGGAGGCTGAGGCAGGCAGATCACCTGAGGTCAGGAGTTCAAGACCAGCCTAGCCAACATGGTAAAACCCCATCTCTAAAAAAAATATAAAAATTAGCTGGGGACTAGCCAGGCGTGGCAGCATACACCTATAATCCAAGCTACTCAGGAAGCTGAGGCAGGAGAATCACCTGAACCTAGGAGGCAGAGGTTGCAGTGAGCCCATATTCTGCCACTGCACTCCAGCCTGGGCAACAGAGCAGACTCCATCTCAAAAAAAAGTCATGAATGGCTCTTACCATACTAATGATTTTTGACTGAGCTCCTAATAGGAATATCATTGCCCCTTTTCAGCCTGAAGAAGTTACAGACGATGGATCTTCATCCCTCTGCAACCTTTAGGATTAAGGGTTCTCTTATAAAAGGGAGGGGGGAAATGTCAGATGTGTGAACCAGAGCAACTCCATCTCAAATAGGAGCTAGGTAAAATGAGGCTGAGACTTACTAGGCTGCATTCCCAGACAGTTAAGGCATTCTATGTCACAGGATATGACAGGAGGTAGGCACAAAATACAGGTCACAAAGACCTTGCCGATAAAACAGATTGCAGTAAAGAAGCCAGCAAAACTCACCAAAACCAAGATGGCGATGAGCAGTGACCTCTGGTCATCCTCACTACTACACTCACACCAGCACCATGACAGTTTACAAATGTCATAGCAACATCAGGAAGTTACCCTATATGGTCTAAAAAGGGGAGGCATGAATAAATCTACTCCTTGTTTAGCTTATCAAGAAATAAGCATGAAAATGGGCAACCAGCAGCCCTTAGGACTGCTCTGTCTATGGAGTAGCCATTCTTTTATTCCTTTACTTTCCTAATAAACTTGCTTTTACGTTAAAAAAAAAAAAAAAAAAAAAAAAAAAGAATCCCCTGGAGGGCTTTTAAAACACAAATTCCTGGGTCCCACCACCACAGTTTCTGATTCTTGGTGAGGCCTAAGAACCAGCATTACTAACAACTAACCACATGACACTGACACTGGCCAAGGACCACACTTTGAGAACGTGTGGTCTAAATCTATCACCAAGGCCCCTGTACTGATTCAGGCCAATTGTAATACACAGAAGACAGTCAGATTTGTGTTGACTAAGACTTATGACTAAGTCTACCACATTATTATTTACTCTATAAACCAGAAATTAACATCCAAAATGGAAAACAATTAAACTATATACTATACTAATGTAATCAGAAAGAAATACAAGCAAAATAATGCTGTAGAAACATAAATTTATACCAAAAAAGTTTAAAAAAGGTAACAAAAATTGTAATGTATATCAATTTAAACTGTATTAGACACCTACACACATGGATTAATGACAAAAGAAATTTCAAAAAAATTACTTGAGTTGAAGGTTGTGAAGTTTCAAGACTTTCAGCTGTTTAAAGTTTCCTCAGAAGATATTTTAAGGTTCATTTTATAAAGATAGCAACACTAAATAATTAAATGGCATATAATTAAACAAAATCATAGATACCACAGGATACTGTCACTCAAAACTGGATACAGGAGGCATCTGTAAATTGGTTAATTTCCTCAAATTTGTGGTATAAAGTGCTATTGAGAAGCCTGCAGCGAAACAGCTGCAAAATACACACACACACACACACACACACACACACACACACACACACACAATTACTTACCTGCCACAGGAGGGACAACACCAGCAAAACGTACTGTTGCATGTTCTCCGTTAACTTCAACTCTTCGACCAATGACATCCAATGTCAACGTGTCACTCATTATAATATATCCAGAATCCAAAATATAAGATCTAGGAAGAAAAATACAACACTGGTAAGAACTTAATAAAATTCCTTTAAAGGGTTTTTTTTCTTTTTTTTTGAGACGGACTCTTGCTCTGTCGCCCAGGCTGGAGTGCAGTGGTACAATCTTGGCTCACTGCAACCCCCACCTCTCAGGCTCAAGAGATTCTTGTACCTCAGCCACCGAGTAGCTGGGACCACAGATGTGTGCCACCATGCCCAGCTAATTTTTGTATTTGCAGTAGAGAAGGGGTTTTGCCATGTTGCCCAGGATGGTCCCCAACTCCCATTGAGCAGAGATCACACCACTGCACTACAGCCTGGGCAACAGAGCGAGACTTT